CAGGGGAGTTGGCAACGACTCCCCAGAGCCGGAAAGTTGGTCAAACCCGGTCATTTAGAGGAAGTAAAAGTCGTAACAAGGTTTCCGTAGGTGAACCTGCGGAAGGATCATTACCGAGTGAGGGCCCTCTGGGTCCAACCTCCCACCCGTGTCTATCGTACCTTGTTGCTTCGGCGGGCCCGCCGTTTCGACGGCCGCCGGGGAGGCCTCGCGCCCCCGGGCCCGCGCCCGCCGAAGACCCCAACATGAACTCTGTTCTGAAAGTATGCAGTCTGAGTTGATTATCATAATCAGTTAAAACTTTCAACAACGGATCTCTTGGTTCCGGCATCGATGAAGAACGCAGCGAAATGCGATAAGTAATGTGAATTGCAGAATTCAGTGAATCATCGAGTCTTTGAACGCACATTGCGCCCCCTGGTATTCCGGGGGGCATGCCTGTCCGAGCGTCATTGCTGCCCTCAAGCACGGCTTGTGTGTTGGGCCCCCGTCCCCGGTTTCCCCCGGGGACGGGCCCGAAAGGCAGCGGCGGCACCGCGTCCGGTCCTCGAGCGTATGGGGCTTTGTCACCCGCTCTGTAGGCCCGGCCGGCGCCAGCCGACACCCAACTTTATTTCTAAGGTTGACCTCGGATCAGGTAGGGATACCCGCTGAACTTAAGCATATCAATAAGCGGAGGAAAAGAAACCAACAGGGATTGCCTCAGTAACGGCGAGTGAAGCGGCAAGAGCTCAAATTTGAAAGCTGGCCCCTTCGGGGTCCGCGTTGTAATTTGCAGAGGATGCTTCGGGTGCAGCCCCCGTCTAAGTGCCCTGGAACGGGCCGTCATAGAGGGTGAGAATCCCGTCTGGGACGGGGTGTCTGCGTCCGTGTGAAGCTCCTTCGAAGAGTCGAGTTGTTTGGGAATGCAGCTCTAAATGGGTGGTAAATTTCATCTAAAGCTAAATACTGGCCGGAGACCGATAGCGCACAAGTAGAGTGATCGAAAGATGAAAAGCACTTTGAAAAGAGAGTTAAACAGCACGTGAAATTGTTGAAAGGGAAGCGTTTGCGACCAGACTCGCTCGCGGGGTTCAGCCGGCATTCGTGCCGGTGTACTTCCCCGTGGGCGGGCCAGCGTCGGTTTGGGCGGCCGGTCAAAGGCCCTCGGAATGTATCACCTCTCGGGGTTGTCTTATAGCCGAGGGTGCAATGCGGCCTGCCCGGACCGAGGAACGCGCTTCGGCTCGGACGCTGGCGTAATGGTCGTAAATGACCCGTCTTGAAACACGGACCAAGGAGTCTAACATCTACGCGAGTGTTCGGGTGTCAAACCCGTACGCGCAGTGAAAGCGAACGGAGGTGGG